GCCGCTCAACCGACTGAGCCACCCAGGCGCCCCAATAATAGGAGATTTTAACACCACACTTACATCAACAGATCATCCAGACAGAAAACCAATAAGAAAAGAGTGACTTTGAACAATATATTAGGCCAGATGGACTTAAGAGATGTATACAGATCATTCCATCCAACAACAGAATATACATTTTTTTCAAGTGCACAGGCAACATTTTCCAGAACACATCACATGTTAGGCCGCAAAACAAATCTCAATGAATTTAAGGCGACTGAAATCATATCAAGTGTCTTTTCCAACCATAACAGCATGAAACCAGAACTCTGTTACAAGGAAAACTTGATCAAACATAACCACATGAAGACTGAACAACATACTACTCGATAAACAATGAATGGGTCAAGAAAGAAATCAAAGAGGAAATGAAAAATTACTTTGAGACAAATGAAAATGGCAATACAATGGTTCAAAATCTTTGGGATGCAGCAAAAGCAGTTCTAAGAGGGATGTCTATAGCACTAAACCTATCAAGAAATAAGAAAAATGTCACACAATCTAACCTTCCACCTGAAGGAACTAGAAAAGAACAAAGCCCAAAGTTAATAGAAGGAAGAAAATAATAGATTGGAGTAGAAATAAATGACATACAGACTAAAAACAAAATACAAATGATTAATCTAACTAAGCAGGTTTTTTTTTTAAGTTAATTTATGTATTTTGAGAGAGAGAGACAGACAGCAAGTGGGGGGAGGGGCAGAGGGAGAAAGAGAAAAAGAAAGAGAGAGAGAGAGAGTCAGTCTCAAGCAGGCTCCATGCTGTCAGCACAGAGCCTGATGTGGGGCTTGAACCCACGAACTGTGAGATCATGACTTGAGCCAAAATTGAGAGTAGAATGCTAAACAACTGAACCACCCAGGCGCCCCTGAAATGGTTTTTTGAAAAGATAAATAATACTGATAAACCTTTAACCAAACTCCTCAAGAAAGAAAGAGGAACCAAATAATCAGAAATGAAAGAGAAGTTACAAATGACCCCACAGAAATACAAAGGATCAAGACTACTATGAAAAAGTGTTATGTCAACAAATTTGACAACCTAGAAGAAAGACCTAAATTTCCAGAAACATACAATCTTCTAAGATTAAATCAGGAATAAGCAGAAAATGTGAACAGACCAATTACAGGTAATGAAATTGAATCAGTAATCAAAAAACCTCTAACATAAAAAGTCTAGGACCAGATGGCTTCATAGGTGACTTGTACAAAACATTTAAAGAAGAGTTAATACCTATCCTTCTCAAGCTATTCCAAAAAAATATTACAGGATGATTCCAAATTCATTCTCGGAGACCAGCATCACCCTGATACCAAACCCAGAGATAGTATGAAAAACATTAAAAATTGCAAACACCCCAGAATAACATAGATGCAAAAATCCTCAACAAAATATTCATAAATTGAATTCAACAGTATGTTAAAAAAAAAAAAAAGGATCATTCACCATGATCAATTTATTTTGAATTTATTTCAGGGATGCAAGGACAGTACAATATCTACAAATAAATCAACATGATACATATTAAGAAAATGAAGGATTAAAATCGTATGATCATTTCAATAGATGCAGAAAAAGCATGTGACAGAATTCAACATTTATGATACAAATTCTCAACAGGGCGGGTAGAGAGGGAATGTACCTCAACAGGCCACATGTGACAAGCCTATAGCGAACATACTCAATGGTGAAAAGATGAAAGCTTTTCTTCTAAGGAACAAGACAACTTATTTTGTTGTTCTAATCAACTAATCAACTGGTTAGTTACTAGTTGAGAACTAATTAAGTGGTCTAATAAACTAATAAAACTCTCACCACACTTATTCAACATAGTATTGGAAGTCCAAGCTGCAGCAATCAGACAAGGAAATAAAAGGCATCCAAACTGGTAAAGAAAAATGAAACTGTCACTACCTGCATGACACTATATAAAGAACACCTTAATACTCCACCAAAAAACTACCAGGACTAATAAATGATTCAGTAAAGTTTCAGAATACACAATTAATAAACACAATCTATTGTTTCTATACACTAATAACAAACTATCAGAAAAAGAAATTAAGAAAACAATCCCATGTACAATTACATCAAAAAGAATAAAATACCTAGGGAATAAATTTAACCAAGGAGGTCAAAGACCTGCACTCTGAAAATTATTAAGATATTGATGACATGAAGAAACTGAAGATGACAGAGATAAATGGAAAGATTTTCTGTGCTAATGAACTGGAAGGATAATGTTAAATTTCCATACCAACCAAAGCAATCTACAGATTGAGTACAATCCCAATCAAAATGCCAATAGTATTTTTCACAGAACAAATAATTCTAAAATTTGTATGGAACCACAAAGGATACGAAATAGCCGAAGCAATCTTGAGAAAGAAGAACAAAACTGGAGGTATCACGCTACAAATATACTACAAATATAGCACAAATCTATTGTAATCAAAACAGTATGGTACTGGCACATAAAAAGACACATGGATCAACTAAATAGAACAGAAAGCCCAGAAATAAACCCACATATATATGGTGAATTAATCTGTGATAAAGAAGGCCAGAATGCACCACAAGGAAAAGACAGTCTCTTTAATAAATGGTACCGGGAAAACTAGAAAACTACATGCAAAAGAATGAAATTGGACCACTTTTTTATACCACACACAAAAATAAACTAAAAATGAATTGAAGACTTAAATGTGAGACCTAAAACCATAAAACTCCTAAAAGAAAACATAGAGGTAATTCTGGACATCAGAAATATATTTCTGGCCCCAGAAATATTTTCCTAGATCTGTCCCCTCAGGCATGGGAAACAAAAGCAAAACTAAACAACTGAGACTACATAAGATAAAAAGGCTTTTGCACAGCAAAGGACCATCAACAAAACAAAGAGGCAACCTATGGAATGGGACAATGTATCTGCAAATGATATATCCAATAAAGGGATAATTTCTTCCCCCCCCCCACCAAAAAAGAACGAATTCATACAACTAAATGCCAAGAAAACCAACAATCAGATTAAAAATGGGCAGAAGATCTAAATAGGCATTTTTCAAAGAAGACATACAGATGGCCAACATACACATGAAGAGAGATGCTCAACATCACTATATCAGGAAAATGCAAACCAAAACCACAATGAAGTATCACCTCATAACAGTCAGAAAGCCTAGTACCAAGGAGGCAAGAGATAACAAGTGTTGGCGAGGATGTAGAGAAAAGGGAACACTTGTACATTGATGGTGGGAATGTAAATTGGTACAACCAGGATGGAAAACAGTATGGGGCTCCTCAAAAAATTAAAAACAGAAATACTATATAATCTGGTAGTTCCACTACTAGGTATTTAGCCAAAGCAAGCCAAAACTCTAACTCGCAAAGTAATATGCACCCCAAGTTCATTGTGGCATTGTTTATAATAGCCAAGGTATGGAAGCAACTCAAGTGTCCACTGATAGATGAATGCATAAAGAAGTTGCAGTATTTATATATACAATGGAATATGACTCAGCCATAAAAATAATGAAACCTTGCGGTCTGTGATGACATGGATGAACCAAAGGGTATTTAGACTAATTATGTCAGACAAGGAAAGACAAATACCATATGATTTCATTTATATGTGCTAAGAAACAAAACAAATGAACAAACAAAACACAGAAACAAACTCATAAATACAGAGACCTGGTGGTTGCCAGAGAGGTGGGGGCAGGGAGGTGTGCAAAATGGATGAAAGGGATTAAGAGGTACAAACTTCCAGTTATAAAATAAGTCACAGGGGGACGCCTGGGTGGCGCAGTCGGTTAAGCGTCCGACTTCAGCCAGGTCACGATCTCGCGGTCCGTGAGTTCAAGCCCCGCGTCAGGCTCTGGGCTGATGGCTCAGAGCCTGGAGCCTGTTTCCGATTCTGTGTCTCCCTCTCTCTCTGCCCCTCCCCCGTTCATGCTCTGTCTCTCTCTGTCCCAAAAATAAATAAATGTTGAAAAAAAAATTTTTTTTAAATAAAATAAAATAAGTCACAGGGATGAAAAACAAAGCATAGGCAATGTAGTCCATAATACTGCAATTAACTTTTGTGCAGTGATAGCTGGTAACTACACTTACTGTGGTAAGCATTTCATAATGTATGTAATTCTTAAATCACTGTTGTACACCTGAAACTAATATTCTATGTCAATTGTAATTAAACATTTTAAAAATAGGGGTGTCTGGGTGGCTCACTCGGTTAAACATCCGACTTCAGTTCAGGTCATGATCCCTCAGTCCATGGGTTCAAGCCCTGTGTGGGTCTCTTGGATAGTTCAGAGCCTGGAGCCTGCTTCGGATTCTGTCTCCTTCTCTCTCTCTGCCCCTCCCCCGCTTGTGCTCTGTCTCTCTCGCTCTCAAAAATAAACATTTAAAAAAAATTAAAAATTAGATATAAAGTAAGCCAAACAAGGGGGAAAAAAAGTGTACAGACTTTTAAAAAAAAGCACATTGAACCGCCAACACCTAGTTTACATTTTTAGTTTTTCTCTGATCTTTCAAAGTGGACTTAAATCCTCTTTGAAACATTGCAAAATGTAAACAAGTGCCAGTTATCAAAGCCCAGGCCTAAATAAGTCACTATTCAACCACCACAATATCTTGGGGAAAAGGATACTACACTGTATAACCGCATTTTTCCTTGCTTATTTAGCACATATATTCATTCACTACTGTCTACTTTCCTGGGTTAATATGAGATTTAACTCAGGGACTATAAATGAAACACTTCGTTAACGACCGTGTTTATGTAAGTGTTCATATATTGAGGGAAGATGAAGAGATTGAGGGATGATGCTATTTGAAGTTAAAGTTTGATCAGTGAAAGATGAGTAAAAGAATCTTTAAAATTCTAATTCAGGAATTAAATTCATGTTAATCACTAACAGTATTGATATTTTAATAATCTGGCAATTCTGAAATTATATCCAACAATTTTAAATTATTTTATTGAATTCAATCAGAACTATACAGGTGAGTTTTTTGCAATCATAAATTAATATAGAAATAAATGAAAAATGAATTCTATGACATATCTGGACCAACTCTGAATTTGCAAAGTAAATAACAAATGTGCAGTCCTCATGTTATCAAGTGACTTTGACCAAAAGTGAAAAATACATCATTCCTTTTGATGGTTTCCTGTGGGATCCCTCAGGATATTTTAAGTAATAAAGAATGTAACAGACTACAGAGCAACAAAGAGATTTACAGCAGAAGCAATGATTAAAATGATGAACGTCGCCAACGGTGGAAGGATCATTTTGCCAGAGGATGAAGAGGGATGGGTTTTGGGACCTGGAACTGGAACCGGACCTGGAGCTGTTAATGAGAAGACACAGTGACTGACACATGTCATTTCTGATACTGAGTTTTATCCACCTAAACCATGCAGACATTTAGCCTGAGTCACAAACTTAACTAAAATACTTCTAACCAGAAACAATGTTGAAATAAATATAGTTCATTACAGATTTCAGGCTACATTTTCATATATACCATCAGGGTATGTTGCTCTAGGTTTCATCGAGGATTCCACAGCCTTTTTAATATCTATGCAGACAACATACTTTGTTGTTGTTGTTCAAGTTCTCTAGAATTTCATAGCAATTTTCTGTTTTCATTTTCTGTATATACATGCAAGGTAAAGTTTAATTCTGTGTTTATTTCAAGTAAGGCTATATCTAATATATATATGCCACCAGCGACTAATAAATGATTAAATATAGCTGCACTTTTAAATGCTGAGTCCTGCCAGCTGATAAAATAAATTAACTTTTTCCCTCCATACATGAAACACTGTAGAAAATGGCTTCCCTTACATAGGAACTAGTGAAGAGGAACAGTGCAGTCCATCCATGTGAGGATGATGTTTCACATGATAATTCAGTTATCCCTTAACTAAATTATGGCCATATTTTGGTTTAGACCATACAATGGAGAACTAGGAAGTATCCAAATGGGATCACCACTCAGATTTCATACATGAAACACAGAGAAACAGGAAGTAAATTTTGTAAGTCTTTAACTCATATTATCAATTTACTTGCCATGCATTTGTATGTATACAGATGGGGAAATGGAGAGGCAGGTGTACTCATACATTAGTTTGTTACTACGGAGCCGTGGTTCTCAAGGGAGCAGTACTGTCCCCTAGGAGGCAGTTTGGGAACTTGTCAGAGTATTTTTTGATAGTCACAATAGTGAGGTAGAAGTACAGAAGGCAAGATGGATGCTGTCCAATGCTCTGGACAGTGTTTGCACAATGAAAAATTAACCCACTTCCACACAAACTTCAAATGCACTGCCAGACACACATGTAAGTTAATAATCTATTTATAATGCTTAAACCCAGAACCAAAATCAATTTTATGTAGAAACAAAGTATTTTTGGATAGTTTTAATAAACATTAGTTTCCATCTAGTTTCTACTTCTTCTCTTTCATTTTCTTATACTTGCATAGAATAGCTTCCAGTCTTCTCTTAAATCCAATTTGTGTTAAGTAAATACAATCATCTGTCCATTATGTCTTTTAGTATAATGTAGGCACTTACATATTGAAATGTACATAATTTTGTTATAAATTATAATTAAAAAATTATACTGATATTTTTATGGGGGCAGGTGGGTCTTCTTATCTATGAATGGTACTTCAGGATAGTATAAAGGCTTTATAAATACTTGTTATAAAAAGGGAGAAGTGGGTTGATAGGGTTGAGAACCACCACTCTAAACAGAACACAGTTGAAAATGACTGCTTAAGAAATAAAGCCCAGTTGCTCCCACCATATACACACAACAAGCATTTGGATATGACATTATATTCCGTTGTTATGATTCCTGAAACTCTTGAAACTTTGTTCCTGTTATTGAAGAAAAATAAATTTGTCACTTCTTTTATACTGCAGATCAGACACTTATCAACTAAGGAAATGAAGTATTTCTTACTAGGATTGCCGATATCTTCCTGACTTTGGTCTTCTAAAATAGAAACAGATTTTGAGTTAGTTGCATTGTACATCTATATATCCAGAAAGAGAAAAATCTGACTAAATGATTAAGCAAACATGGTTATCTCTGAGAATGGGCCTGCAGGGCAGGGTATTGGGCTTATATGTATGTGTGGGGTTGGGGAAGGGTTTAATTTTTACCCACTTGTGCTCTTTGAAATTTTACCTTGTATGTACATGTGTTTCCATTAAAAGAAAAATTAAAATTCTATTTACAAAAAAGTACTTTTTCTGCACATTGAACTAAGATTCCCAAGTACAACATTAATACCAACTATTTACTGAGTGCTTTCTATGTGTCATGCATTGTGTAAACTATTTATGTAATTGTCAGATTTCTTACAGTCCCAGTCGATATAGTTATCAGTATTATACAGATGTTCCTCAAAACTTGCACAAAATCACAGAGGCAATCAGTGGTAGCAATGTCTGATTTCAAAGCCTCTGTTCTCCATTAGTACGATATACCACCTCAATTACAATGCTGTGCTAGCATTGAAATATTACAATATTGCCATATTTTGATAGTTTTGAAGCCAAATACCCATTACAGGAGCCCAGGATAGAGGCGTATTTTTTTTTATAACTAAATCTGGCTGGAAGACAAGTGTCACATGACAGAAAGTGAACAAAATTTGAAAAGTGTGAGTCCTGGTTTTCTCTTTCTAGTCCTTTACAGGTTCCTTAAATTTCCTATATTCCATACTTTCATCTCTGAAATGGCAATAACAATATTTATCTTAACGATTAAACGAGATCCTGTGTAAATGTTTTGACACTTTTAAAAAGCTTGCACTACACACAGCTTTCTAGGAGAGAGCACAATACAAAACATTCCCAGCAAAACCTAGTAGCCTCTCTGGAGGACATGGCAAGTGCAGTGAGGAACACAGAATGACTGGTCTCATGCTGTAGGCTTCTCATACACACTTCTCTGATGATGCTGTTCCTGTTACTACAGATCCCCTCACAGTAGCCACTTGACCCTGGGAAGCCTCCTGTTCCATTCTGCAATAGACATGTGCAGCTGGAAGCCAACTCTTCCAGTTGCCGGTCAACTATCTTTTTCTTTGCTTAGCCCAGAGAGCCATAATAGCAGCCTGCTGCTCACACTGAAAGGGGTTCTCAATATTTTCTCCCTCTGGCTTGCATACTGGGGTATCAGAGAAGCTGTGCAGCCCAGGTGTCTTCCTTAGCCCCCTTAAGACTGAGCTAACTGAATGATCATATTAAAGGACCCAGAACCCCATGGTACCTCCACCCCCAAAAAAGAATTTATTACCAGGTTTTTCATCCAGTTGCACCACTTTTACTCCTAAATGAGAAAGAATTTCAGATAATAATAATAAAGACAGCTACAACTTACTACTATTTTAACTATTTTAAACTACCATTCTCATTTTGCCAAACTTTATCTCATTATGACTTTAATCAGTCCTGCAAGACATAAATTTTCTTCATTTTACAGATGTGGAAGCGGAAGCAGAAGCACCAGCACAGGAAAGTGAAATAGCTTACATAAAAAGTTACCCTGTGAAAATGGCAGAGGAAAGACTTCATTAAGCTGGGTCTGTCTATACAGCCTGTGTTCATTCCTGACACCTGGCTCAGCAGCTGCCTTTCAGATAACCACTGTATCTCAAAGGAGCCAATGAAAATACTATGCAAACTCGGGCCACTGAGCTGAAGAGTTGTAGACACACAAGGTGTGTCATCAGTGTTGTTAGAGGTTCACTTCAAAGTTGTAACCAAATAAATGTGTGACACAACACGGCAAATCCAGGAAAAAAAAATGAAGTTTGGGGGCCTTTCAACATTTTTCCTCCTCTGTAAGCATATTTTCTGAGCCCCTTCTGAGGAACTTGACAGGAAACACTATACAGTTTCTCTGGTCACAGAAGCTCAAGGCTCCTCAATAGCCTTGTCCTCACCACAGCCTCACACTGTTTAAATATCTTTTTTCATGATTATATTTTATTGGTAAGCTAAATGTGCCATGGTAAATAAAACTGGAAAAACACTTAAGGAACCAAAGTCTTCAGGAATAATGGGTACTTGGCCGTAAGTTAAGAGACCTGGGTCCTTCACTCACTTACGTGATCTTGTGCAAAGTACTGAGGCTCCCCTGCATATCTAATGGTGACAACTGTTAACTAAACCCCCCAAATGGGCAACTTATTCTCTCATATGCCAACCACTGCTTACCAGGTAGTGAAAAAGTTTCTGGAATTTTCATTCCTAAACGAGAAAGAAGTTTTTAGTGACTTACAGTTTGCTCCAATGAGTACGTTCTCCCAACTCTTCTTGTCTGATGAGCTTAAGTGATACAAATGCCAAAGCTCCCACTGCACTGTGATTCCTGGCTTTTTATTTAAAAGTTATGGCTATGAGAGCCCTCACTGTGCAAATCCACTTCAAGCTTAGAGAAGCTTTCTGCCATGGCTTGTCTGTATGCTAGAAGACTGTATTTTGTTACCTGGAAATTCTAGATGCTGAAATGTTAGCCAAAGCGAATAGTCAGTGTCTTCATGACGCTGAATTTTCTGAGTAACTTAAGCTATAGAACCTAGAAGGTGCTGGCCTGCATGCCTCCAGGTCCCAGCAGCCTTGCCTTTAGCCATGCCCCTAACAAGCTAAGTTTCCTGCTCTAGGAACAGATGAATGCTAGGGAAGAAAGACACTTTTTTTTCCTCTCTACTCTCCTCCCCAGCTAAATCTTAGTAGAATGGCTAGCAGTAGGCTGTAAGGGAAATGTTAATGAATAATAGTCTCATGAAGATATATTTCTTAATGCCTGGAGGAATTCTTCTCACCTCATACTTGGACCCAAAGAGTAAAAAGAAAGCTGTCTTACCAGGTATTTGCGTGGGTTCATGGCTCATCATACCTCAAGACAAAAATAAATATTAGTGTTAATCAATTGCCTTGCATTGTGAATGGTCCCCTCTGTCTACACCTCCCCCATCTCCAATCCTTAAAAAAAAAAAAAAAAAAAAAAAGGGAAAAGAAAACTATCAACAAAAACACCTTTTTGTTTTTTTAAGTTTTATTTATTTTTGAGAAAAAGAGAGCAAGGGAGGGGCAGAGAGAGAGGGAGACAGAGAACCCCAAGCAGCATCCATGCTATCAGTGCACAGCCCCACATGGGGCTGGAACCCACAAACTATGAGATTATGACCTGAGCCAAAATCAAGAGTTGGACGCTTAACCGACTGAGCCACCCAGGCACCCCATCTTTTTTTTTTAATTAATTATTTATTTTTTAATTTTTTAATTTATTTGAGAGAGAGCGAGCACATGCACAAGTGGGGGAGGGTCAGAGAGAGAGAGAGGGAGAAAATCCCAACAGGCTCTGTGCGGCCAATGCATAGCCTGACACGGGGCTCAATCCCACGAGCCGCGAGATCATGACCTGAGTGGAAATGAAGAGTTGGACGTTTAACCAACTGAGCCACCCAGGTACTCTCCCCCCACCCCAAACACCTTTCAATGGCTCTTCATCCTCTGACAAAGCAAGCCCACTCTTTAGCCTGGTCTTCAAGAACTTTCATGATATGGCCCATATATCTTCAATCAATCTTTATAAGGTAGTCCTAGCACATTGGCTTTTAAACAAAATAGTGCTGGGTCTAAGAGTCTGCTTGGTCTAGTACTATTGTTATTATAATTATTAGTTCTGTGACTGGGCAGGCTTCTAATCCCTCTGAGCTTCAATTCCTTATTTATGCCAAAAAATACACTGTAGGTGTGTAGTAAATGATAATTAAAGGAGATACATCATAAAAGTTCTTAGTACACTGCGTGGAACATATTAAACATTCAATTAACAGAGTCCCTCTGTTCTGGCTTAACTCATTCCTCAAACTCTTCCATGTCCAACAATGGCCTTAGTCCTAGGAGTCAGTCCTCGTGTCACCTCCTAACCTTATAGCCAGTCTCAGAGGGTACGGAAAAAGATCACTTACCAGGTAAGACAGTGGTCTCCTGGCTTTTCGTTCCTAAAGATGAGAGCAGAAATTGTTTAGTGAAAAATACAATCAACTTGAAAATTAATGTAACCTTATATTTATATGGCTTTTTACAGTGGAAAACTAAAAGCTCTGAGAGGTGTCGGGACAGGGGCCTGGAGTCTGACTTAATGGTGAGAACAACTATGGCTAGTGACCCAGGAGCTCTCTGAAAGTAAGCAAAACTTCCTCTCAGCTCTTGTTGATTTTTTTAAGATTCAGTCCAAAGACTCTGACCTAGATTTATTTCTTAAAAATAAAACTTCTCAATTACATACATTATAATTACAGATAATTTGGAAAAACACAGGAAATTATTAAAAATTACTCAAAATCCCAGATTTCAGAGCTACTCATGCTCAACATTTTTGGTATATCTCCTTTCAATTTCTTTGCTATGTATAATGTATGTCCATATACATTTTTAAGCATTTTTCCCAACTTTATTGGTAATGTAATTGATAGCACTGTAAGTTTAAGGTGTACAGCATGATGATTTGAATTATATATATTGTGAAATGATTACAATTAACATCCAGCATCTCATATAGTTATTTAAAAAAAGAAAGAATGGAGAATTTAAAAAAGCATCTCATGTAGTTATTTTAAAAAAGAAAGAATTTTTCCCTTGTGACAAGATCTACTCTCTTAACAACTTTAAAATGTGCCATACAGCAGTAGTAGTCTAGTCATCATTCTTTACATTACATACCCAGTACTTATTTATAAGTGGATGTTTGTATCTTTTGACAGTTAAAATGAAGTTGCCATTACAGTCTGTACACTGTTTTACATCATATTTTTATTTGCCACTATAAGCACTTTCTCATGTCTTTAAATATTTTTCAAAAACATGATTTTTAAGTTGCTTAGTGTTTCATAATATGGATATTAGTTAACAATACCCCACTGTTGGACACTAAGGTTATTTATAAATTCTGGCTACCATCACAGTGTAAACATTTTGCACACAAATCTTTATATTTCCTTAGGACAAATATCTAAAAGTGTTAAAACTAGGTTAAAAGACATGGACTTTTTTCAACGTTTATTTATTTTGGGGACAGAGAGAGACAGAGCATGAACGGGGGAGGGGCAGAGAGAGAGGGAGACACAGAATCGGAAACAGGTTCCAGGCTCTGAGCCATCAGCCCAGAGCCTGACGCGGGGCTCAAACTCACGGACCGCGAGATCGTGACCTGGCTGAAGTCGGACGCTTAACCGACTGCGCCACCAAGGCACCCCAGGCATGGACATTTTTAAGGCTACATACTATCAAACTGCCCTTCAAAAAAGTTCCAATTTACAATCTTATCATTAATTTATGAGGGTCCCTGTCTCAGCACCCTTGAGGACATTTGAGTAATATCATTATAAAAAAAAAAAGACAAAAACAAAAACCTGGAAATGAGTTGTACTTTGAAATACACTAAACAATCAGATGTATATAGTTAACAGCATTTATTACTCAGATTGCTGGAAGCAGAAATAAATACACAAAATCATTTTAATTTAGAAAAGAATAATGCCATTTTTTAATGCTCCTGCCCAACACCCTAACCCTAGGTCACAAGAGTTTGTGAGTAATTAGTCATACCTTCCTCTACCCATGTAACAGCTAACCTTATATAAAAGCAGAAAATATGCTCTTTAGAACTAATTCCTCATGTCATGTCTCTAACTGCTCTGTGGGTCATCTTGGAGATAAGACAGATAGGTAAGAGAGAGAGCTGCTGTGTCATCTTTACAAAGAAGGTCCATCTGTAACTCAGGAGGGCTCTGATATACCAAACGAGTACGCTAAAGTGGGTTCTGCCTTCTTCCGACTTTTCCTTACCATGCCATGCTTACCTGTTTCCATCACTAAGAGAGCCATATTGCAAATGAAAACCCCCAGAGTTTATGAAAATGTCTTACCAGAGTCTTCAAGATTCTGGTTTTTCTCACCTAAGTTATAAGAAGAAACTTATCCGTTTTAGTGATAAAACAAAATAACTGAGAATTACTATAGTTACAACAAACTATTTTCAGGTATGAGAGCCATAAAGAATCACTTGGTACATCCAGTCAACTAAAGCTACTAAATGTAAGCCAGAGTCTAAATGTACCTAATTGGAACCTTCCTCTGGCCCCCTTTATAAAGAAAAATTATCACATATAGCAAATCTCTGGGGGATCTCAATGAGCTAGAAAAATGTCTATCTTGAAGAGTTAGCTGAAATCTCTGTGAAATGACCAGTAAAACTTGTGGCTGCAATGGGCCAATAAGAAGTGTTGCAAAGCAAGTCCTCAAGGGCATAAAATGCTTCACATCAGGACAGGAAATATCTGCTAAAAATCAAGTAAATTGCATACTTAAGAAAAAGCCAGATGCTGTTCTCTCATCAATAAAGAAAAACATACTGTAGCTACATGGGCCAAACACATAATAAGGAACTTAAATGCAAAGAAGTGATCTGAGTCATATCACCATAAGTGGAAACTTAGGGAGGAAAAGCATCTAATCACCTAGATACTTTAGTCAAATGATAGCAAGTATCAGCATCTCTGACAGACGCAAATGAGTAGCTTTTCTACTTTCATCTGGATGTGTGGTGCCACACAGGCTAATTTCAATGACTAAATATAGAACTATACATAAGAGGTCCTCAGACCTGTCAAAAGCAACTAGCTCTTCAGGTCTACTCCCCTGAACGTTTCCATATTCTTCAGATCTCCAAAGACCCAACCCCTCTCATTTGTAGGAAGGTAAGTTTCCCCAAAATAGATACCCCCCCCCCCCCACTTATCTGTCAAGTTACTTCCCTTCCTGTCTGCAAAGTACTCTTTCTTCAGCTAAGAAGTGAATTTGCTAACAGGAAAGAGCTGCTAAATATTAAACATCCATTTAAAGATTATTTTTAAAAATTAGAGCACACTTACCAGGGTTGTAGATATAGATGGGTTGAGAATATTCTGAAATACAAACACGTTTTCATTACCTAAGTACTATCATCAGATTTAAATAAATGTCAGGTTCACTCTATTTTTAAATGCTTGTTAATAATAAAGATTTAGGTTGGCTTACAAAAATACAGTAATATGAGAAATTTAAGATTTTAATCTCAAAGCAAATGGATATGGATTTATTTTAATTACATGAAGAATTCATAGAAAAACTAGCCAGGAAGACAGCTAGAAGCAGACCGTTATTCTCAAACTTTTTAGCAAGGAAATCTTCAAAAGGATCCACCCAAAGCATGCATTAGCCTAAAGCATTTTCTGGAAACCTTGGTTCAAATCTATTGGGCTTATCTGATAATGCTATTCCTCGTAGAAATCCTGTTTCTCTTCCCAATCTTTCCTATGGTCCTCTGAGAAAGATTATTTTTGTTACCTCCTCTTATTTTTCACTGAGAAGCAGAGACAAACAAACCATATTACCATTCTGTCCCCCCCGATTCCCTCCTTAAGCCAAATGCACTCTACTTCTTCCCTTTGTCAGTCTCCCAGATGTTATTTCCTAAGATATCAAAATAGAAGACTATGAATCTAGCTCTGTGCATAGGAATCATGTAGGGACATTTAGAAGTCCTTAAGCTCCTACATGGACAGGCTACGGTGAGAGTAGCATGGTCCCTGCATGCCCAAGGCAAATGCTGTGTTTGAGAGCACAGCCCCAGGCGTGGCTAGGGGTGGAGAGTAAGCAGCACGGCTCCTGGGCCCTCCACCTGACACGGTGGTGGTGGCGGCGGTGGCAGTGGTAGCAGCAGCAGCACATCTTAGCCTCAAGAAAATGATGGCTGATGATATGACAATATGGTGGGGTGGCTCTGCCGCATGCCTGGGAGAGGAACACTGATAAAATTCCCCTTAGAAAGATAATACTTTAAAAGCATATCTTACCCATGTTCTCAATACAATTTTCAGCTTTTAGTCCTGAAATATGAAGATACAGCTTTGTTAGACACAATCTGCCTTAGTAAAGATTTCAAATTGGTTTTATGGCTACTGATAACCTAATTTGTCAGCTTTAGTCTATCAGATCCATAATTTGGTGGGATTCAAAACGCAGAACAATTACATTTTTGTATTTATACTACAGCCACCAAACAGTATGATCTTTGATAAAACATCTAATGCTTCTAGAATTAAGTTTCCTTAGCTGTACCTTTTACTGGGAATTTGCTTCAAATGACCTCTAAATACCCATCCAAGGCTAACATTTTATGATTCTATTTTATGATTAGTCTGCAAAAGTTGGGAAAAAATTTACCCATCTGTTCAGTTAATCTTCTCTTCAGATACTAAATGTCCTCAACAGCAAACCTATCCTTTTACTATGACAATTCCTATTCACTGGAGAAAGAGAATCTCAATCAGGTCTTCTAGATCCTTGAATATATAAATAAAGATCCTTCACATTCATATAAGGCAACAAGTTGGTCTACCCCAAACATTAATCTATGGTCTGTTCCAGAACACTGACCTATATATATAAGAAAATTTTACAGTTTTTGGAGAGCAGGAATATGGCACCTACTAGTGTATCTTTATAAGGTCCTAGTCCATCTCCTTGTTGATGCCCTAGAAAAAGTCACCAGTGCTGCAGCAACAACTCTGATATGCCCAACTATGGTTATGGCAAGAACTTCAGTGAGAGGATGTTTAGATTTAGAGCCACCATGAAATACAGAGGGCTTCCTAGAAAGTCACATGAGGATCTAGAGTCCCATGGCCTCTTCTCCATGTTTGGCTAACTCACTGATCTAATCTGGATATTCAGCTACCTGCGGATGAATCTCTCCATCTAAAATGGGGGGGGGGTCCCCAAGATGTCTGGCTTCACTATGAGAGATGCACTTTTCCATAATCTGCTCTCAAATCCTGTACCATCTTGTGTAGGATTTGAACCAAGAATCTAGGTGTCTTGGTCCAGTTTCCACTGGTCAAGGAAATGGTAGGGATCTGTTCAAATCTGGATGGTGCCCTGAGGCTAACCTCAGGTGTCTGACTAGACTGAAATTTTTGTTTATCTATTTATTTTGAGAGAGAGGCGGAGAGAGAGAGAGAGCGTGCACGTGCACACATCCAGGGGAGGAGCAGAGAGAGGGAGAGAGAGAATCCCAAGCAGGCTCTGCACTGCCAGTGTAGAGCCCAACACAGGACTCGCACCCACAAACCGTGAGAATGACCTGAGCCAAAACCAAGAGTCAGACACTTGACAGACTGAGCCATCCAGGCGCCCTTAGACACATTTTTTTAATTTTTTTTAATGTTTTTATTTATTTTTGAGACAGAGCATGAGCAGGGGAAGGTCAGAGAGAGAGGGAGACACGGAATCTGAAACAGGCTCCAGGCTCCGAGCTGTCAGCACAGAGCCCGACGCGGGGCTCAAACTCACACACCACGAGATCATGACCTGAGCCGAAGTTGGACACTCAACTGACTGAGCCACCCAGGCGCCCCTAGACTAGACATTTTTTAAGAACAGTCTAGAGACTAATACAAAATACTGCTTTAGCAGGAAATGAGTAAGTGCAAGCCTTACTCAGAGGCCTTACTCACCTCAGAGGGTGAGGTAAAGGTGAGGGAAGATGTGGATAAGAAAGCTATTGGTATAATAGAAAGATTCAGCCAGGGGACTAGACACTGGGGGATTTTAAAACTTTTATCTTTCGTCTGTACCACACATTAGAGTATATTTCTCAAAGTGTAGTCTTCTAATCACATACTTAAGAATCATCTGGGTGCTTATTAAAAAGTACACCAGGGCCCTAACTAGGACTACGGACTGATACAGAATTTCTGGGGGTGATGCCTTGTATTCTGCATTTTAAACAAGAAATCCCAAGTGATTTTTAAGCACAAAATTTTTGAGAGCCTCCAGTAATAGAGAATGGATCTTCTTTAATGTTTAACACAGATCCATTTATTCAAGACTGCATTTCTCTTCCCTATTTGACTGAACTTAACTTTCCATTAGTTTTTCAACAGCAAAAAAGTAAACTATTTTGGGTTAAAAGAGAGGAGACTGGTGCAGAAATAAACAGGAGAAAGCACAAATATATAGAGAATTAAAGAAGGGACTATAACCACAGATTTGATAGGTGTGAAAAAACCCACAAGATTACTGTGACTAGATTTACACCAATAAATTTGAAATATAGAACAAATGCCTAGAAAAACAGAACTTATTAAAACTCAAGAATAAATAGAAACTTGAATGGTACTATAACCATTAAGTAGTTTAAATTTTTTCCATAAAAAAAATACAAAGATAATTTGGTTTTTACAGAGTACTAAAGAGGAGGGTGCTGTACAGAGAGAACCCCAGAGATCTTCAAAGGGTTTCCTTTGAATACTGAGCAAAATACGGATCAACTTATGTGATCGGGTATGGGGAAACTACCTGAGGCCAGGGAAAGAATCCATGAGAACACAAATGGTGCCTATTTCTACCAGTCACACTAGAAAACCTTGTAAACTGCCATTTTAGCAGAGAACTCTACAGTAAGAAGACTTAGAAACAGTCCAGACAACAGTAAATAAAGCCCTCTCGGGAGTTCCCTTTCTCCTTCAGATCCCCAGAAATTACAGATGTCTGTAACCAAACTCAGAGCTGATTGGAATTTCCATCAACAAGACTAAGGCAGTATTTGTTAATCACTGGGTTTCTGCACATAAGCATTTCTTCCCTTTGGGAGCTGCTACTGCTTGCCTGTTACTGGGACTGAGACTGTCTCACTGCAAGAAAAGTCATGTCTCTCCAACCCGCTATCTTATCATGCGATGGGCTCTCCCTGAATTTAAGTTCCACCAGTAATATAAAACCCCAGAAGTTCCATGGTCCATGGAGATTTACTTCCAATTAAGAGCCAAACCTGACTCCTAAGGCCTTGACCACTTTCACAAACAAGTGGCTGTCTATGGGACCTGCAGTCTCCAAACAGTGGTGGAGGTGTCCGTGAATGCTATAGCAAATTCACAGGGCTACCAAAGGATATTTTAAAATTTCAGGACAAACGCAGATGTACTTGGTATCTGTCAGGCACAGCAAGAACTACAACTTGAAGTGGAACTCAGTTGCAAAGTCATCCCATGTCAATATTCTGTTTGATGGACATATTTGCAAGGCTGGGTTTTCGGCAATTATGACAAAAAGCAAATATATGTGAAAAATCAATGTGGATCAGGAAATAAGTGGTGTCTAATCGGATTGCAAAGTCTGACAAACTGTGCAGTGTTAAACAGGCATATATATCCCATTAGCAAGTTACTGTAGCTAAGAATGAAATAATCTTTAGAAAACTGTTTATGTATATTACTTTTTCAAACAGTTACTAAGGTGTTAGAACATAAACACCGAGTTGTTTGACTCTATAAATGGAACCTTTTAGGTATTTCTTTTAGCATATGGACACTGTCAAAACAATTATGACAACACTAGGAACACCATGAACCAAGAAAATCTGAGAACCTCCACATCAGACATCACAAAAGCCTTATGTACTCCTTTACCCTGAACTACTGGCTCAACAGAGACCTTAGCTACAAGACTTCACACCTGAAAAGACAGCACAGTTCTCTAACAGCCTTCCCCCAGGTTGGGCACATCCAATGGAGTGCTGCATCCATCCATTATAATAACTTATTCATTTTCTTGGATGCTCTTGCGAGTAGCTGAACTTCAAATGGTGATCCTGGCAGGAAGTACACTGCCCTGGGACTGACTAAAATCTACCTTTATATACATTCATGTGCCAATCCTAATGCTCTAGCCTGTATGATCAGGCCCCTGAGACACTGAGAACTGGATTACTAAAGATAAAGCCATATGTAGTCCCTCTCTACATAAACAAATGCATCGAATACAACTCAAGAACTCAAGCTTTATGCTACATGTGTACATGCTTATATGAAGTGAATGCACCTAGAGAAAAGCACCTGGGGACTGGCAAAGCAAATCAGGCATGTGAGGCCATCATCTACTATAGCTTCTGGCTCTCTAAGCAAATCTACCACAGTAAGGAAGTCATTTATAAAGGATTAGGACCTCAAACGAAAAATTCTATTAGCCTTCCAATGAAGATCTCTACAAGACTGACTGGTTGGCTGTCTTGAGATATTTATAAGTTGCATTAAACCATGCTAACCTCTGTTAGCTAATTTTCCAAGTATCAAGGAATTAGGTGTTAAAGAATGAGGTGAACTGTGTGGGTGTGCTTGTTCCGACCTCAGTGGATGGATAGACATTCACACAATACCTGCTTTTACTTCAGTAAATCAATACATATTTCATATGACCTCAGCAAACAAATAGATCATATTGATTAGGTCAAAATCATGAATACATGAAACTGGAGGTTGACTTTGCTTCCAGTGGTTCTGTAGCTAGACTCCTTTGCCACAGAGGTCACCATGGAACTGATTATTGTGGAAAAAGGACAGCCAATCTGGATCATCCTCAAGAGGAAGTGACCAACTGTAACGGGATGGGATTATGGTAGGCAGCTTCTGACATGGTTCCCAGTAATCCTGCCTCCTGGTACTCACGCCCTTATATAATCCTCTCCTCTTGCATGTGGACTGAGCCTAATGACTTGCTTTTAGCAAACAGAATACAGCAAAGGTGATGAGACGTTACTTCCGTGATTAGGCTGTGAAAGACTATGACTTACTGGAACTTTACTCCTCTCAGGGGAGGCTAAAAAGGAGTGTTAATCAGAACCAGTGAATATACGTATGTTTAATGAGCCCTCAGGGCTAGGGGTGGATTTATGAAAACTAAATTTGGACAGTCCTACAGGTTTATCTTCCTTCCCTCCTTTGATGGCTTAGCAGAGAACTGGCTCAACAGGTCTCAGTAAGATTAATAAAATAGACTAAAACCAGCCACTGGAATCCAGGGGCTCCTCTGGAGTAACAGTAACAGGGTT